AACAGCACAATTTCATAATCCAAACAAACCAATTATCTGTAATCTGCTTGTAGTTTAAAACTGGTGTATTATTCTGAACTGCAGAGTCTAAGTTGTATAATATAGCAATGCTAAAGTGTTTCATTGTGCTACACTGTGAGGAAAGGTTAGACTATAAATAGAAATCAAGGACAAGACAGAAATATCAAACATGTCAAGAAACTTGCATGAAATAAAATTGAAATAAATTAATAAAAGGCGGCAAAAAGCATATTGATTAAAAAATAAATAAATAAAAAATCCTCAGTCTTTATTCTTCAAGAGCCTGTCCATGTAGTTTAAACTGCTCACCAGGCAATTTGTCTTTTAACAATGATCAATAAGACTTTAAAACCCAGGGAGGTGATTCCATTTTAACTGGTAGTAAAGAAAAACAGACTGATATACAGGTTATATACAGCAGCCAGGCACGGCTGTGTTTCCCATCAACCTGATTGAAAAACCTTGAGTTCAAACCTTCAGGAAAGTTCAGAGCAGCATTACTGGTCAATAAGAAATACAGTAACATCAATAAACTGAACGCCCTCATCTGCAAAGTGAAATCAAGATGTGAAACGTGGCAGTACCTGATCAAGCCAGGATTGGCCACATGTGTGCTTTTTCTAACTGTGTTTTCTTGAAAAAGTTCCATGCAGTCAACATTTCATTGCCCAACCAATCCAGAAAACAAATGAGTCACAGATGAAGTACACACAGGCATGGATAACCTTGATTCACGCTCCTGGAACGGGAAATGAAAAAAACGTGTGTGTGTGTGTGTGTGTGTGTGTGTGTGTGTGTGTGTGTGTGTGTGTGTCTGCGTGTGGTTCTTTTTATAATCATCTATATAATTTGCAGGTTTGTAGCATGTGGAATGAAAATAAATGCAATAAGAGACTGAGAGAAATTCTAAGTCCTTAATGACCTAAAGAGAAAAATGCACAATAAGTGCATTAGTGCCGGAGTTTAAAGGGCCATTTAATAGATGTGATCCAAAAGAGCTATGAGCTGATAATTTTACTAGAGTTTTTTTTCCCCCCATTATACAAAGTCCTACGGCTCTGCTGAAGAGAAAACTGTAATTCCTGTCTTGAGAACAATGCATCCACTCGCTGTGTGGTGACAAATCAAATACAAAGCAACACTCCCACCTTGAGTTTGAAAAAAGAAAAGCAAGAAATGCCACCAGTACTGTTCAGTTCAGTACATATAAATATCATTTCAGAATAAAACCTCAGGTCTCCTTGTCCTTATCTTTTATACTAAAATAATACAGTGCATTAGCATGTTTCTGTACACAGCCAGCTTCCAGAACTGCTTTAGTGCTCTATGTTAAACACTCACCAAGTTTATTTTTACAAAGAGATGAGCCCCATTTTTTCAAAAGATATCATCAAAAGAGGGCTGCAGTGCAACTAAAAGGTCGCTGGTTCGCATCCTAGGGAGAACACCCAGGATCTTTCTGCATGGAGTTTGCATGTTCTCCCCATGCAGTTATTCCGGGTTCTCCGGCTTCCTCCCACACGGTCCGAAAACCGTGTTGAGGTTAATTGGTGATTCTAAATTGTGTGTAGGTGTGAATGGGAGTGTGCTTGGTTGTCTGTCTCTAAGTGTAGCCCTGTGACAGACTGGTGACCTGTATAGGGTATCTCCTGCCTTCACCCTGAGTCACTTGGGATAGGCTCCAGCCCCCCACGACCCTTAAGCGGTGTATAGATAATGGATGGATGGATTCACCTGACCACATAACTTTTTTTTTTTTTTTTTTTAATTTTAACTAACCTAACAGAAAGAAAACAGGACCAAAAGGAATATAACAAAAATGGCAGTTCTTACCCACAAGGCTTCCGGTTACAGAATAAAAATTATGGTTAACTTACAAACAATGGGGAATGGTTAGAAACAATAATCCACCTTTTAAAGGAATTGTTCAACATTGGATAAAGTACTAAAGTAGAGTTAGATGAGATAAATGATATCACAGATTTCTGTGCATTATGCTGCAGCTATCTATCAGTTAGAGTAGCTTCACTTCTTTTCAAAGACAAAAATGGCTTTTCAACAAGAATTTACAGAACAGAATCTTTCATGTCAAAGTGAGAACAAATTTCTCCAATGTTATGTCAATACATTACAAACATAAGAATGTAAAATAAGAGATTGCATATTCACTGTTATTAATCTGACTCAAATAATGTAATGCAGTCACACAATTAGTAAAATAGAGATCATCTAAGTGCAGTGAATGTATCTTAAGTGACTGTGGTATAAATACACCAGTATCTATAAGGTCTAATGAATCAGTACTCTGGACTACAACTTCAGCATGAAGACAAAAGAACATGCCAAGCAACTCTGTTAAGGGGTTGTTGAAAAGCACAAGTCAGAGGATGGATACAAGAAACTTTCCAAGTCACTGAATATTCCTTAGAATACAGGTAAATCCATCATCAAGAAATTAAAGAAATATGGCACAAGCATAAATATGCCCAGAACAAGCTTTCCTCAAAAACTATGTGACCAGCTTTATGATAGAGTGGCACAAAAAAGCTACTGTTAAAACAGCTTACATTAAGTCTGGACTAGAGGTTACCAGAAGGCATGTGGGAGACTCTGAAGTCGACTAAAGAAGGTTACTTGGTCTGAAGAGACCAAAATTTAGCCTTTTGGCCATCAGACTAAACGTTATGTTTGGTGGACACCAAACACTGCACATCATTACAAACACACCCTCCAGACGGTGAAGCATGGTGGTGGCAGCATCATGGTGTGGGGATGGTTCTCAGCAGCAGGTCCTCAAAGGCTTTTGAAGGTAGAAGGTAAAATAAATAAAGCAGAGTACAGGGAAATCCTGTAGGACAACCTGATGCAGTTTGCAAGAGAACTGTACCTTGGGAGATTTGTTTTCCAGCAAGACAATGACTTGAACCATTCAGCCATAGCTACACAGAAACGGTCTAAACACAACAAAGCGAATGATCCAATTTGGAACAAAAATAAGGTCAAAGTGTATTGTTAATGGAAATTAAATGCTTAAACTGAATAGTAATATATTGAATAAACAGAGTATTTTCAACCCTCACATGTCCAGCCATCACTCAAATTACACTCCTAACTGGTATTGTAGCCACAAAAAGTGTTTTATCAAACAATTTGCCTGCTAGGTCGAAGCTACATTTTTTCTCGTAAGAAAATTTATTTATTTCCATTTACGTTTGTCAGTGCTCATTTTAAAAGACAGCTAGAATCTTTAGAACGGAGTAAGAAGTAGAAGTAGCACAAGAGGACTTGCAGCTTTCATCTTAGTTGTCAGATGCAAAGTCATCACCATGAGAAACGTCCTTTTCATTAGCTTCTCTTCCACATGACATGAGCACAGAATTACTCCTGACTAAATAACAACACAAAACCAAGTGCCCAAGAGGCCTGAAAATGTGATTAGCTGATCACCAGATTCTCCAACCAATAGTACAAAGACAGAGGAAGATATGCTCACAGAGAAGATGGAGCGCAGCTAATCATTTCTATCTTAAATTGAGGCCAGCTGCATTTTCTGAATATTTTTTATAGATACCACACAGCACAGTATGATAGATTGTTGCCAAAATGCTGAAATGTATCATGTACTACTGTAGGGAAGCAATTGTGTTTCTCCAGGTATGACTCAGGTTTGTCATTTAACAGGCCATTTCACAGCAAACATGTCAACTCTGTTGTCAGTGAAGGAAAAGCTAAACATCTGTGCTCATTCTATTGAGATGTTATTTGCTGTGGAAAATACATATTGGTTACATTTCTGTAAGTAAAAATACATTTGGAAATATGTATAGTTGGATTGTTTGGATTGTTCCTGAGTATTTTCTTACAGTGCTGCATCTTCTGTTGTTGGAATAGCCTACTAATGACTAAGCCAGTGACAAATATGGGCCATTGTTTAAAAAAAAAAAAAGTGGAAATGGTAAAGGAATGGATAAAAAAAAAACAACAACAGACAAACAAAAATCCTAAACATTTTGCGAAGGACAAATCAGATATACAAGTTATGCGGATGTAGGTGAAGGGGTATGACAGAGATATAGCTGAGAACAGGTTGAAAGACCACATTCTTTAAATAAAAATAAACATCAAATCAGAGAAGAAAAAACATTTTCTGAGTATCTGTCACTAGATGTCACTGTATGATGTTTATTGGGAGGAGCAATCAACACCAACAAGCAGTAGATGTAGCGCACAGCGTATCTGATTAGTGTGGAAATGTTGTATTATGGAACACAAATTTTAAAGACTTTAACTCTTTAGACGTCCTTGGATTCAATTATACATTGATTATATAACGATATATTACACGCCCTGGTATAAGTACGTGAGAAAATGCTTGAAATTTAAAATTGTAGCTTTAATTAAAGCCGAATTGCTATAGCATTATCATATAAATACTTATTCTAGCGCGACTGTGTTTTTTTCAGCACCCTTTCACCATCAAATACTTTGTTTGACGTCAGAGTTGAATGCGGTGTGTGATGCTCTTAGGATGCCTTCAGGTACTCCTCGTAAGAATCTGACTTTGCTGCAAGATTGTGAGTATATTGAACTTGCTGAGTAAGTAAGAGCTTTAGGTAACAATAATAACAAAACAATCAAATTCACAAAACAGTTTTGTAGTTTCTATTGGTTCCCGAAAAGGAAAACAGTTCATCTCATTATTTATTTAAAATGCAATATTGAGATTGTTTGCTATATCTTTATTAATCCATTAATATTTGTGAATATTATCGTTTGAACAGTAGTAAATAAATAGACCACGCAACGCGATGTAGTAATTTATTGAAAAGTCCGACTCGTTGAAAATCTCGGTGCTTTGTTTCAGCACGTGAAGGCACCATCGCAGCCCCACCGCCTCGGCTGGGAGGATACAACCATTCCGATTAGGGCAGCCGTTGCCAACGATGCAATGCCTCGTTTTACGGATGAACCCTGGGCATAGGCACCTTCTGAGTGCCGCGGTCATCTCGAAGAGGCTGTACCACCCTCGTCTTCTTATATGTAATTTGCGATAGGACCCTGTAAACAGCACCCGAACGACCCAAGCTACCCGGCCAAGACTGGAATCTGGGCTTTATGTTTACCGAAGAGAAGCTGAAGAGGTGAGCTGAGCGAGCCGTAGTAACTTTAGCTTGCTACATGCTACATGCTATCTGCGGCTAGCTGTGTGATATTTAAAGCAAAACCTGTGTACCTGTGTGACCAGCCCTCCGTTATAAGGGTAGAAATTAGTTTGTTTAGATGTTACTGGTCAGTGGGCTTGTGACGTTCCAGCGTTAAAGACCGAAAGCAGTCAACGTCAGTCATCCAGTAAGCTAACGCTGATCAATCAATGAACAACGAGCTAGCCCCTGGTAACGTTAGGCTAACGTTAGTTGGTAGTGCTATCACCGGGCCCGTCATACAGCTGACTTCTGGACTTGTCCGTCAGACTCTACTGTGGTAGAAGGAAGCATAGTCATCGTAGTTATAGAAAACTTTTAATCTTCATTCTAGCAGCACGAGGCAGGACATCAGGATATACTAGCTAGTGCGTTCGTGCAGCAGCCTTCCTGTCAAAACAAGCCCAACGCCTCCCCACAACATTCAGCAAGGAGGGGTTCAGTAAACCGTTTTTCGCGCTAACGTACATATTATTTCTGCTCTTAAAATATTTGTTCTTTGTGCTTAATTGAAACGGTTTCATTCTGTCATACATTCAAGCGCTATTGTGCATAATGCTTCACTCCGTCTAAGGGAGGGGGCAGGTACTTCTGTCTGACTGTTACTACAATGGGAAGAACATGGAAAATGTTTTGCATTTTATTTGGACTCCTGTATGCTTACATGTGAACTTTGCTTCTTTCATGTAATTATTGTGTGTGTGTGTGTGTTTTTATTGCAATTGCATTAATTTTTTTTCCTATCATTTAGGAAGCCGGAGCCATGGGTTTCTTATTCAGCCTTCGATGAGCTAAAGTAAGCTGGACCCACACAACTTAGCCAAGCCGCCCCCTACAACAGGGGCTCTTCTTGCCCCTTCGCCCTCTCCAGCTATGGCAGGCTTCAAGCGAGGCTATGATGGCAAGATCGCTGGCCTGTATGACCTGGACAAGACACTGGGCCGTGGCCACTTTGCCGTGGTCAAGTTGGCACGCCATGTTTTCACTGGCGAGAAAGTGGCGGTGAAGGTGATCGACAAGACTAAGCTGGACACTGTGGCGACAGGCCACCTTTTCCAGGAAGTCCGGTGCATGAAGCTGGTGCAGCACCCCAATATTGTGCGCCTATATGAAGTGATAGACACTCAGACGAAGCTTTACCTCATCTTGGAGCTAGGCGATGGAGGGGATATGTTTGACTACATCATGAAACATGAGGAGGGTTTGAATGAAGAACTGGCCAAGAAATATTTTGCCCAAATTGTCCATGCCATATCCTATTGCCATCGGCTGCATGTGGTGCACAGGGACCTCAAGCCTGAGAATGTGGTGTTCTTCGAAAAACAAGGACTGGTCAAGCTTACTGATTTTGGATTCAGTAACAAGTTTCAGCCGGGGAAAAAGCTGACCACAAGTTGCGGATCACTGGCATACTCTGCACCCGAAATACTGCTGGGTGATGAGTATGATGCTCCAGCCGTAGGTATGCAAAACATGTAGTCTGATGAATGATGCTAAAGTAATGAAATGAGTCACACTGTTAATTACAACACAGCTTTGCAGTTACAGTACAGTACTACCAGGCAGGATGTAAGCTAGATCTTTGATGCAGCCCATTTGTGAAAGTATATTGCTTTCATCCAGGCATTGTAGTCATATCATCTTGCATGATCCATTGACTGTTTAAAGTTGGAAGGATGAGGCTTGTTCCCAGTGGGACCAACTTAGTGTCTATTTCACCTATTAGCTCTGTGACCTCTTTCAAAAAAACTATTTCTGTTAGAACACAGGCTTTTGGCATTATACTACACAGGACATCTCTATCAAACTCTTATTAAAACCCAGCTATAACACAGCGGTGTAATGAGGTTGGCAGTGTGGCGAGCACCTGTTTCACACATTTTTGTCACGCCGTGCTGTAACACCTTGGCTGTTGGTTTGCTTACAAAGCCTGAACACGTGTTTACCCAGGACTTGTTTTGCGTTTAGATAGCTTCAGTCTATCAATCATGTGCCAGAGCCCTGTGTAACGGAATATTCAGAGGCAGACTTGTTTTAAATATCAAGCTGTGGGTTCCAGCAGTATGTTGCTAACAGTGCTTCACACTGATCATTTTGCAGAATGCCATAGGCCCTGTGCTACAAGGTTGGCTTCACTAGCACTGTCCATGGGTGTCCTATTGCACTGAATTAACTGTCTCATTGATTTTCTATGAGGACTGACAGAGTGTAGACAGACAGATTGTGTGTCCTTCCATGACATGACATGACATGGTATATTTACACAACAGGTACTGATGGCAAAAACATATGAGCAAGTCCACCTCTTGAATTGAATAATGAAATGTACCTAGTTAAGCTTGTTTTTCTGTTGGTGTTGTTAATCCTGAAGGAGTCTAAAATCGGTCTCATGATTATTTATGCACATAGCGAATGCTTTCAAAGGCAGTCAACTAGATGTAATTTCCCCTTTTTCGATCACAATTTTCACAAGCTTGAGAGGTGCGGCTGAGGCATTGAGGAAACTGTGGTTACTTTCTTGTTGAACACACACGCACACACACACAGACACACACGCACACAATCAATCACAAACGCACACATACTCATCCAAGAGCTTTGATATTGTATGTTTGACTGTGGACAGCAAAAGGAAGCAGTGCATTTCTTTGCTGTTTTGCTCTGTGCTGTTTGAGCAGTTGTTCACTGCATCAAGTTGGTGCTGCATCTTTAAGAGGTGACTAGAGGCATTGCTTTGGTTTGAGGTGATGAAGGGAATATCAAGGCACATGAGTCTGAAAAAATGGCTGACTAAGAATACTACATTGTCTATGTTATCTCTCGTTAATGATGGCTGCATGTGGTACACTGTTACCTCAGGGTCAGGAGAATGTATGGTTGGTACAGAGACCATGATTGGTCAAGCTTATCATTGACAATGTAGAACTGAAAACTGAAATTCTAACTGGATTTGAAATCCAAAAGATTGTGAGTTGAGGTAGGTGTCATTAATTGGTACTTTTGTTGTTGTTGTGCTAACTGAAATATCTCTATCACCTGTTTTTTTTTTTTTTGATTGATTGGTCATATTGTCTAATGTAAGAGATGAAGTAAATTACCAAAAATACATTAAACATATTGAAATCATCAGTGGTATTGACAGCAATGCGCTTGCAATGTGAAACATCAAGTATGTTTCTATCCACTTGATTTTATCCACATATTTGCTTTGCACTTAAAACAAAGCTGAGCAAATATGCCAGAAAAGAAAGAAATACTTTTTTACTTTACTGAGTTGAAAATAATTTGTTAATCAGTCAAAAGGAAAATGCAAAGAAGTCAAAACAAATTTGTCGTATTAAAACATTTACTTAAATATCTGCCAGAGAGAAAAAAAATCGTCTGACAAACACATTAGATCTATGTGGAGCGATTAAAAAAATTGCCATATTTCACAAATATGTGAAATGAACATAACTGCCATATCGCCGTCACATTTCCCCCCACTTTTCATTTGTTTTAAGGCTGGCACTGCCAAATCAGAGTCACTGATAATGTTGATGTGCCCAACATTTAATATTTGTAAAACAATAGTAGATGAAAACATGAATTAATTCACATTTTCTCTTGCTACCCAATTTTTCTGCATATTTTCTACATGGAAGTTATCCTTCCTTCACAGACATTTTGTAAAAACTGCCCATATTGCTCAGCTCAGTGTGTGATAATGCATAGTGATGTTATAAATTAAGGTGGTCATGGCTGAACAAAGTCATGTCCATTGTCTTTACATGGGCTTAAGTGTGAAATTATGATTCTGTTTAAACCTCAACAGGCGTATGTTTGCCAATACATTTTTAACTCAACAGTTAAGTGTTTATTGCAGTAGTTAGAAGCTTATCCTTATCCTACTCTAGTGGGTAAGTCAGAATGTAAAAACCTAGAGTCATCAGCTATCTTCTACTTTTCTTTACAGTATTTAACAGTGTTTCAGTGCAGCTACAGATGCTGTAGGGAATGTTCATGCACATGTGTATCTTATGTGCTTCATGTTCGGCCTTTTTGTAGCTATAATATGTGCTTTTTTTTATTCCATGAGTTTGTAGTATACTACTGCACCCTGCACTCAGAATTATTGATTGTCCATATGCAGCTCACCATGCTTTATTGTGCTGAGCTGTTTAGTGGGTCTGACAATCTCTGCTTTCTGCCAGGTGACCATTGTGTGAGATGCACTTAGTGCTACTGATGGTAATTGCATAGATACTACTTTCAGCTGTGTTATACCACCACAGCTCTCTCTAGTTGTTTTTGGAGAGTACTTGCAGCCATTGATGGTTGTTTTCTGGTTCTATGTTTTTTTTTTAACTGCATCGCAATTTAGTTTAGTCAAATGTTGCAGCGGCTGTTGTGGGGCTTTGTGATGCTGTGGTTAAAACCATTAGCCTTATGCGTTGTTGCTGTTAAAGTGATTGTACTGAGGTGAAAGTGCTTATTGTTTGAACATGTGCAACCCAGGTTCCAGAAAGGTTTACTGTAGGATTATTAGTGGCCGTCCATGCAGGGCGGAGCAATGTTTATCTGTTTACTGAGAAGCAAAATAAGGTAGAATTGTTTTAGTTATGTTCTTTTGAGGTAAAAAATGAATAGATCATATGTATTACATAATTAAGAATTGCATTTTGTATATAAATATCAGCAGAGGTGGTGCAGAGGGGGATGTCTTACCATCATGGACAAACTGATAGCAGAAACGGGTTAAAGCTTGTATTAAGAAGTTCAACATAGTGTGCACTGGATGTGCTTTAGCTGATGGAAAGCCCTTAACTTACAAAACCTTTCTGTCTACAAGTAGCCATTGACTACCCATATCAACCTATTTACTGTGTATCTGTGCCCTGCAGAGCTGTTTAGCAGGCTTTGGTGACAGCACCAAGAGGGCATCAGAACTGTGCCTCTAGAGAGACTCTTAATTGCAGTCCTGGTTACTGTTGCCTGCTGCCAGTAGATGGGAAGAACAGTTAATCCATGCTATTGTTTGGACTAGGCCAGGAGAGGATGAGAGAGAGGCAGGATGCGGCGATTATACAGTCCTGTGTTGACACAGACTGGCTGGCTTTGATTAGAACACATTCATCTGGTTCCCACCACTGGGCCAAAGACCACCTTCCTCATTATGTAGAGTATTTTCCACCGAAAACAAAGTATTTCTTGGGTCTTTCTACTAGAGATAGGTAGAAGTAAGTTTATGTGATTACTCCTTCAATCTTTATTCATAATCATGAGCTCAGGACAAAACACTACATCATATCATATCTGATCAGATGCTGGTTGATGCAGCTATGCAGTTTCATGATCTTTCTTTGCAGGAACAAGTACATTTTATGTCCTGCCTGAATTGCGTGATGGTGGACATGGTGTATTGCATACACCTAAGCTAACTAACCCTCATTTTCTGTGTCCACCATGTTGTGTTAGGTTACACACAGGGAACATGCATTGTACATCATGTGTTGAACATTTTGTGTGAGTTCCATTTAAATCAAAAGTACTATGTTCAGCAGGTTTTGCTATGACTGTAATTCAGTTTTGTTTTATGTATAAATTATATATTGATATTAAGTGTATATGTTCAGGCTAGAACCCTTATCAAACCTGTGAAGCTTGTGGCAAGTTTGAGTTACAATAACTTCTGTTTTCATAGCAAAAAATTTAAAGTCACAGGGTCGCGCGGGCAACAGCAGACAATAAAAAGCCACAATTCGTACAACTTTGCGTCACAAAGGTGTGACATCGACCACGTTTAAAGTTGCTTTTTTCTTTAGGAAAAGTTTGTAAAAGTACAATGGCTGTAAATGGAATCAGCTGCTGCATAATGGCACAGTACATTCAAAAGGCTTACATCCTGTTGGACTTAGGACATGGCACCAGGAAGCTCTTTGTACATCTGGACATGATAAGTTTGCCTTTTAGATTTGGTACAAGTCGGTGTCACCTACTGTGGAGGCTTCAAATTTGAAGTGATGTATTGAGCGACTTTGCTACAATCACACTTAAAAGCAAACCAAAAAATGTCACCACTTATGAGGCATTTGCAAAGTTTTATGAGTTTTCAAGCATCTTTAATGCCTCAAAAATGCTATTCATTTGGAATAAAATTAATAAGAGTAATTGTAATTCTTACAGATACAAGAGGGCTTTCACATTACTCTGTGCGTGTGCCCTAAAATGAGATGATGTATAACACTATAAATGCAGTCTGGTTTAGCTTCATAAGTTAAACTAATATTTTCCTTCTGTGGTGGTTTCTGTCCCAGTAAATCTGTCGTTTCTCCACTCTGGATTGTGTGTCATGGGTCTGAAGTCTTGCCAGCAGCACTGTGTTGAAACTGAACTCTGGTGTCTCTCTTATTAATGCAACCACAGCGCAAAAAACAGACTATGATTCAAAATGAAGAGCTGATGAAATGATGCTGATTTTGC